ACTCTGAGCCTCAGTCTTCCACCCTGAGAGCAAGGCTCGTGTCCCTACTTCAGTGACTGCGGTACTGAACACTGCTTATCACAGGCATCCAGCAAAGGGCTCAGGAGTACACAGTGTCTGTGAATAAGTGAGGGCTGTCACATTCATACCCATTAGCAAACAACCCCGAACAGCTACCAAGTACACACTGAAGCCTGTTATTGGAGGAACAGGAAAGATCCAGAATTAAAAAGTCCCAAGACTAAGGGCCTAAATCTACCAGTTTTAGTCCCAACGAAAGTGCAGGCAGTTTGAAGAGTATGAGGCCTACTTTTCAAGGCAACTGTTCAAGGACACACTGTATTTTAGGCAGTGAACTTTCAGTTAGCTGTAGGGATTTTCATGAGTCACCTGCCCATAGCTGGTGTGTTTTCCCAGCCCTCCACTTGGAAAAAGATAAGATGCGGGGGAGGATGAGTCATGTTGAATGTTCCGCAAGTGCTGTTGTTTAAAAGCTGAAAATGTTCAGTTGGTTTCGTGTTTGTAGAGGAGTTGGGTTATCACAGAAAAATCTGCATTTCCAAAAACTATGAGAAAACACTTCAAGTTCCAAATAAGAACATGGATACATTCTCCCCCAGTGTATGTTTGAATGATGGCCACGCTATAGTAGTGATATATTATTTATAATTCACTAAAGCTTGCCTGAGGAATCAGTCAAGCAAAGACAAGCTTCACAGGCACACACCTTTAATCCTTGGACTCAGGATTAAGAGCTAGACAGATCTCTGTGAGTCCAAGGCCACCCAGATCTACACAAGAGTGAATCAGTCTAAAAGAGAATTATAGCTCACGTCTTTAATTCAGCACCAGGTGGGTATAAAAGACAGGGACAAGTAATCAGTATGAGGCATTCGCTCTCCAGCCACACTGAGGAGAGGCAGCAGTTTGAGACCTGGTAAAGAGCTCGTGTGTGGATCAGAACTTTTAGCCTGAGCTGGAGGCGAGAGCTAGCGGCCGGCTGCTTTGCTTTACTGACCTTCAGCTTGAAGCTTAATCCCAATATCAGTCTCTGGGCCATTTATTTTTTATGTTACACACTATCAAACAAGCCCCAAGTACAAAGATAACATATAAGTGGAACTTAACCCTTGAACTTGGGAGTGTGAGTACATATGGGTCCTTCAAGAACATTTAGCCTTGCCTGTTCCAAAGCAACATGTTCCTTGAAATGAGAAGGAATGCAGTTACTCCCTGTAGCTAGGGAGGCTCTGGGAATGAGCCTGAACTGTTCTGGCCACGTCTTCCCACCTCGCCACCAGGGTTCCAAAGCCAGTGGCCCCTTTGGGGGTTTTGATGGAGGACTTCTGAGCAAAGAGAATGTGAGGTGGCATTCCTCCAAAGTGGAAACGAGCCATGCTGCAAACCGTAAATTAAGACGGGTAGAAAGCAGTGAGGGTCAGGGAGTGACAATGCTTGCTGTGTAGTAAGCCTGGCAAGCTGAGTTCAACCCCAGATACCCGCAGAAAGATGGAAGAGAAGCAACTCCAAAAAGTTGTCTTCTGACTTCCACATGTGTGCTGTGGCAATGTGTTCACTCCCCATACATACACATACACAATAATAACAGTTCTTTAAAAGTTGAAAAAAGATGGGGTGGAATAAGCCCATGACATGTATGTCTTTTTAAGGATGTAGAAATCTAGGACAACGTGGCCATGGCGACCAGAATGCTTGCTTCATCTAGTCTCTTTCATGTAAGAAAATGCCAGGATATACACACAGCTATGACAGCTGGAAAAATGTGCACTATGGTTAACTAGGTCTTCTGTCCAGTATCTGCCATGGCGAGGTGAAAGTTACCGTAGTAACCATTCCAACACTGAGACCCCAGGAGTTCAAAGGCATGAGAATCAGAATACTAAGGAACTGACTCCGTGTCTCAGGTTCTTTCTCCCCATGGCCATTTGTCTCCCATCAATGAGATGCAAACTTTCTTACAGAACTGATGTAGTTCCAAGCCATGTTCAAGATGCAGCTAGAGTGTGCCCTGTGTCCACAAGGCTGGAGACAGTGTCTTCTGAATGATGTCCTTCCTAAAATGATAACATTCTCCGCCCTACGACACCATCAAGCTGCACTGTGCACTGTTCGTTTGTGGCATCTTCTACTTAGTATGTTTGGGCCGTGGGTGATCCTACATCACTGAAGCACCAGGCGGTTTACTGCTAACTGGGTGGGGGGGGGGGCGACACCAGGAAAGCTTGCATGGAGTGATGCTGCTACTGAAGGTGGTCTGCAAACTGTTTCCATAGTAACCTGCAAAATCTTGAGGACCACAATCTGTGGGTCAAAGGACTGACACTATTATTTTTTGCAAAAGTTGTTACTTTTATGCCAGAAAATGAACACAGAAGATGATAATATTCAAAACTAGAAATCTAGCCTCACTTAAAAAAAAAAAAACTTATTTTGTTATTTTTAATGATGTATGTGAGCGTGTGTGTGTGTGTGTGTGTGTGTGTGTGTGTGTGTGTGTGTGTATGGGTGTATATGTACTTGGGTACAGAAGATGCAGGATGTCAGAAGAGGGCACTGTATCTCCTGGAGCTGGAGTTGCAGGACGGGAGAGGGATGTGGGCCCTCAGCAAGCCACCTCCTCAGCCTCGGTCTTGCTTTTAAAGGGCTGATATTGCTGGCCTTGGTAGGAGGGGATCATTATTTAATATGTTCTTCAATTCTGTTATTTTCAGTTATCTATGCCAGGGCCTTAAGAGGGGACCAAGCAGGTGAAAAGTGGAACGGGTCAGTCTATGCCCTGAGTGCAGATAACAGAGATCTGGCGCTTGCCGGCCCGAGAGAAGGCTGACAACAGCTCGTGACCACAGCTCAGGATGCTAACTTGGTATCTGCTGTGCAGATCCCTCAGAAGGGCCCCTCACTACCCCACTGTTCCCAAGACCTATGTCCCTGAGCTCAATTCATGCTGTAGGTTTCCCCCCTCAGGGTCTAAATCTGTTCCCATAAGTCAAGCAGAGGCTGACAGAGAGGGTACACTGGTTAGTTTTCAGATTACCCAAAACCCACAGAGATTGTGCATATGGTTTCCACAATTTCTGTCTATAAACTAGCAGTTTATAGATGGAAGTCCGTTATATATAAACCATCAAAGGTAACATTTCCTAAACTCTGCATTAGAAAAAGACTCCAGTAAAATCTTTTCACATATCTTCAAAATAACAATTGCAGTGGGTTAAATGTCAAGAGAGGACACAATTTCATTGTGTTCCAGGTGCAGCCTCCCCTTATCCAAGAACCCCGCCTGGAACCTTGGACAGTACCAAGCCTGGCGTGCACTCTGCTCTGCTTACACATACCTTCCTATGACCATGTTTAACGTAAATCAGAGGCACTTCAGAACTGACAGTCACTGATAACACAATTATTAGTTATAAGAATTATTACTGTACGATATAACGAAACTGCCAGTGTCACTACCTGCCCGTTGGGGCCATTATTACATGAAATAAGGGATACTTAGAGGCAGGTACTAAGAAACTACGGCAGCTGACGTGATAAATGGGGTGGCTGCCGAGTGACTGACAGGCCGATAATGCGAACAGTGTGGACAGCCTGGACAAAGGCTGACTCACGATCCAGACACGGGGGGAGAGCACAGTTCAGGAAGGCTCACAATTGAAAACATACGTGTCGCTGGCGTATGGGATTTTCCATTTAACATTTGTGGACTGTGGGTGACCTAGGTAACCAAGACCTAAGCGATCCACTGCCATGTCGCAGGCGAATATCAGCTACTGTTCCTGCCTTTTGCTAACTTGTGGCTGAGGCTCTTAGAGGCCTCCAGTGTGAGGTCTCTGGATTTCCTCTGACGATGCTCCAAGAGCAAAGAGACATTTTGTCACTACATAGCGACACTAATGCACAGTGCCACATTAGAGTGACAGAGCCTGGATGCTTCAGGAAGTATACTTCTCTGTGTCCTCGGAAGTTCCGAGGGCATGGCCAGGACTTCCTGTCCCTTACAGGGGCCCAGAGAGGTGTTCACAGTTTATTCGGAGCATATTTTCTTGGCTTATACAGTGTGTATGACATGTCCACTCAGCATTCGGCTTTCCTTTTCCTACTGGGGCCCACATGGAGCACATGGATCTATGAGTACACACCATCATCTCAACCCAGAATTAACTGGTCTCTGGCAGCATCCTTTTTTTTGTACAACCCTCCCTTGCTCCTACAGTTCTGTTTTTAAGACTGACATGGTCAACCCTGATGGGGGGAATGTCCTTACACGACTCCAATAGATCTGCCATGTTCACAGTACAGCTGCTGCTCCAGGGGTCCGGGGCCTCTGCTTCACACTTCACATGATGCAAAAGAGCCACCTTATCCCACTGGGTTAATCCCGGAGCATACAAAACACAATCTGGGGAGTACAGAGACGGCACACAGCAGCACACACTTCCTTACGGGGTATTCCCAGGCCTCCGGGGGAGACAGCTGATGGATTAATCAACTTTTAGATGCGGCTACCGAAGAGAAATACTAAATTTAGTGCTGCACGAAGCTACCATCCTAGATCTTCTCATTCCCGATATTATAGACAGCGTCCCACATTCCACAGTCATTGCCATCTTCTCACTTTGACCTAGCTGGGTACCCACAGGTGTCTGGGTGGACAGCCACAGCGGAAGATTCGTGTGAAAAAGCCTTCTCAAATATCGGAGAGTGGAGAGATAGATGTTTTCAGAAACATCTCCGTATTTATGGAAGTGACGGAGGGAAACTGACCTTAGGGCTGTCGCTCACTAATGTGAAGTCTAAACAGCAGTGAAGATGATTCACAGCCAGGTGTGGTGCCACACACCTTTAACCCCAGCACTCTGCCAGGCAGAGGCAGGTGGCTCTCAGAGTGAGTTCCAGGACAATGAGGACTATGTAGAAAAACCCTGTCTCAAAAAAGAAAGAAAAGGACTCCCAAAATGACAACGGAATGGTCTTACCTTCAGAAAGGCTTTCTTTTCCAGCGTGTTCATGATGAATGGAGGGATGGCTGTAAGAAAGACAGGGTCACTTAAATCTCCACCTAACGCCTGTTTTCAGCTGAGTTTTCCCCTAACGGGCTGATAGAAAGCTGTGTCATTTTTAGGCTATCTCTATTCTGGCAAAGCAAAAGACTCAAACCAGAGCAAATGTAGGACTGGAGCTGAGGGGACACTGGGGTGCAACCCTATTTTTGGGCAGTCTGGAAATCAGGGCTCAGATGAGTTGGGGGCTCCATAGCCTTCTCTTTGGAATGACAAGCATGCTGGTCCCTAGATACCTTCACAGACCACGGTGGCCTCCAACCAGAGTATAGAATGTTCCCTCAGGTCAGTCAGGTTAATGCTAGTTAGCTGCCCCCTTCAGAGTTGCTGTCAACTCTAGGTGAATTGTAGCTAATAATGAGATACAAACGATGTACAGATAGTTACACCCTGTTGTGGAGGGAATAACAAGAAGAAAGCCTGAATGTGTTTAATACAGGTATCTTTTTTGATGGCTGGTTGGCTCTGGATGCCAAGCTGCCCACACACAGGGTCAACTGCAGCATGAATGTTCCTCAGTTTTCCTCTGTGCACCTTTCTTCAACTTCTGTTGCTTGTTCAAGCTACTCGCCAGTTCAGAGCATCAGGTGGCAATGGCCAATAGCAGCTGACAGACATGCTTCATTAGAGAACACCTTGTCATAGCCACGTGCTGTTACACACAGCTTAGGTGAAGAAATTCAAGAACATGAGTTGCCGGATTTCTTTCCTTGTTTTCCCTACAAAAACTGCAGTCACTCGCAGGCCCTTTGGTTTCTGAGTGTCTAAGAGCCTTTTCCAGGTCCCCCGAGCAGCCCGGTGGGTAGACAGGAGATTCTCAAAGGGTCATAATATAACACAGATGTTCTCTCTGCTCATGCTGAGCACACACTACATAAATAACAGAGTAGCTGCCAGATGCACATTTTCTGTTAGCGGTCCTCAGCATTACCTCTGCCCCGTGTTGCAGGGGGAGCTTCAGTTCTCATCGCCATGGACTTAGAATCATCTTCCCTACTGTACCCACTCGCATCACCTCCACTACATCACTCTGGTCCAACCAGCCACAGCTTGCTGCCTGCGGTCCCCAGAGAGCCCTGAGCCGTCTCTGCTCACCACTGCCACATCCCTTTAATCTCATAATTACCATGTTCAAAACTGTTTGTAGTGTTTTATGCCACAGACTGGAAGTCAGAGCGTGGGATGCCCAAGTAGCCGACTCCAGTCTTTGAGGCCCCATGAAGTCCTTTCTGCCCCTCCTCCTTTGCAGAATGCCTCCCTCACAAAAGGAAGCTCTTGCCCTCTGCTGATACCCACTCTACCTCAGATTCAGCCCCGCAAAGGGGCCCCTCCCATCCATATCTCTACCCAGCCCCTTGCCTGGCCTATGCGTGAGCCAGGATGTACATCTACCATATGCGATGTTTGTTGCATGTATGAAATCATTAGCAACATTGCATAACATTGCTCTTAGGCCACGTGTACAAGATACATGTGAAACATAATTAAACTTCAAATTTAACTTCAGGCCTCCTGAGAGGTAGCTCATCTTATATTTATGTAAATGTTCTAAAATCCAAAAAAATCCTAAACCTGGGACACTTCTAGAAGCCCCAAGCATTAGGGTAGAGGATGTTCCGCTTGTAGGCATGGAGTATCTACTTGTCCAGCTGCTCGCTCCACCATCAGAAGGTAGTTTTCGCAAAGGGGAGTGCCGTGTGCTGTTTTTGTTTACCTATACATAAAGGCTTGCCATGAACCACACGGCAGGCCCTCCAAGCTCACTCACCCATGCCCGGGGCTGCCATGAGGATCCTGGAGATGACCACCTGTGTGATGGCTTGCTTTGCAGCTTTGGTCGACTCTCCCAAGCGGGTGCCATTTTCATCAGTGACAGGAATGCCAACTTTGAGTTCCCTGAAGGGCAGAACACAGGCAGAGGGGTTCACAGATCGCTCCAGGCAGCATCCTGAAGGAGGACTCTGTTGAGAAAGATCAAGTGCCTCCTTCATCCACTTTCCTACTCAAGTGTCATTTTTGGCACTGATAAGTCTATTTTTAAATACCATGAACAGGTTCAAGCCTCCTGTGACAGACACAGAGGGAAAATAACAGAGGACTCCTTTTTAGAAGGATGTACCTTTCCATAACGATATGAATTGAGGGGTGGATATGCTAGCTCAAGGGTGAGGTTAATTTCAGTGCTCATGCACAAACCTGAACAACCTTCTAAATCAGAAACAGATACAGTGTTATTGAGTACTGCCTGTATCAACGGTCATTGCAACATAGCCTTGGGAGACATTCATTAGCTATACACGATTCCCAAAGCTAGGAGCCCAACTCCTGCTACTGCCCTGCCCTTTTGTTATCTGTCCAAAGCACTTATTCTTTCTTCTCTTTAATTTCTGTCAATTCTAAAAAGTATTTCTAAAGGGAAGTATTAAAATCAGTTTAAGCCCCATAAGAAAATTCCAAGGGAAAACCAAGAAGCTCTTGGCTTTCTCCATCTCTGGTCCCAATCTTACCGAATTTTTTTCTGTGTAAGTGGTGTAGGCCAGAGACACACCTTTGAAGTAGGAAGACTATTCATTCTGAGGCGTAGGAACCCAATGGGCTTGCCCTCACCACCCCACCCTACAGTATGTTGAAGCAAATCTCAGATTTCATATCATTTCATCGACACCACGAGACACTCCCCTGTCAGGTGCAAGGCCCCACATAGTGTGTGTGCTGATCTTACCTTTGCCTCATCAGCGGGATATTAATGCAGTTAGCAGCAGCCACGGCAGCAAAGGGGACAAAACGCCCTATGAGTGGTGAGACATGCTGTAGAAAAGAGAAGCATCATCTCATTTTTCCCTGACAGCTGAATGGAGAGCCTCACATCCTCCTAAAATAGCGCAGCCCAGGCCATACAGAGCCAGGTCCAGGGGCCCCAAACTTGTCGCCTAGAGGTATTGCTAAATCTCTGGCAAGGACATACTGAGACAATGCACCCATCTAAGACACTTTGATAGCTTGGATCGTGTGGCTGGAAGCACGTCCCCATGTCCCAGAACTTTGATTTCAGAGCCAACCCTTCTACCTCTTGAAGGCACACCCCCTCCCCAAATCTCAGGGGTCTTTTAGAAGGTAATTATGTAGAGCCAGGAACAGATCAGTCTTAGCTGATGCTATTAGTTACAACCCTTCCCCAACCAACTAGAAGATAAAATTAAAATATGCAGTTAAAGATGGCTACAGGAAAGCCAAGTGGCTGCAACCCTTTTGAGAAGAAACAGAGTGACAGGCGAGAACAATAAGATGCTCTGCCATGGAAATAAAACTAATTACCTTGGTTAAGGCATTGAGTCCTAGGGCTGTCGCTACAGCGCCGGTTGTTGCAGAGACATACGCCGTACCCAGCTCACTGAAAAGAATAAAGGCACCCCATGAACGATGGGTGTACGCCAGGGAATATATGATCTGAAGAAACAGAGGAGGCAGAAGTGTACAGCAATGGAGAGTCTGCAGGGCAGACTGGGGTCTGGGGTCACTGCATCAGTATGGGAATCCAGAGGGAAAGCAAACACATCCCTAAAAAGGGGCTGCAGCTCCAAATAGACAGACATGCAGGAGCGGGACTGCGAGTATGGGGAAAGCTCGGGACAGAGCAAAGCCTCGGGACATTTGCATAAACTAAAACTATCATGTCAAATATTAATGTATGCACAGGAAGCAGAGGGCAGCAGGGTCATCTCAGAGGTTATGTCACTGTATAAAAACAGTCCAGCTGGGCAAAATGGCGGTGCAGATTTCCAAGAAAAGGAAGTTTGTGGCGGATGGAATTCTCAAAGCTGAACTGAATGAGTTTCTCACGTGGGAACTGGCTGAAGACGGCTACTCTAGTGTTGAAGTCTGGGTTACACCAACCAGAACAGAAATCATTATTTTAGCCACTAGAACACAGAATGTTCTTGGTGAGAAGGGTCGTCGGATCAGAGAGTTAACTGCTGTGGTTCAGAAGAGGTTTGGCTTCCCTGAGGGCAGTGTAGAGCTTTATGTAGAAAAGGTGACCACAAGAGGTCTGTGTGCCATCGCTCAGGCAGAGTCTCTACATTACAAACTCCTAGGAGGACTTGCTGTGCGAAGGACCTGTTATGGTGTGCTTCGATTCATTATGGAAAGCGGGGCCAAGGGCTGCGAAGTCGTGGTGTCTGGGAAGCTACGAGGACAGAGAGCCAAGTCCATGAAGTTTGTGGATGGGCTGATGATCCACAGTGGAGACCCTGTTAACTACTATGTTGACACTGCCGTCTGCCATGTATTCCTCAGGCAGGGTGTGCTGGGCATCAAAGTGAAAATCATGCTGCCCTGGGACCCAAGTGGTAAGATCGGCCCCAAGAAGCCTCTGCCTGATCATGTGAGCATTGTGGAACCTAAAGAGGAAATCTTGCCCACCACCCCCACCCCCATCTCTGAGCAGAAGGATGGGAAGCCAGAACCACCTGCCATGCCCCAGCCAGTGCCTACAGCGTAACAGGGTCTTGGCAGCTGTATCTGGAGACTGGATGTTGTCCTGTACAGACATTTAATAAAATCTTGCACAAAGACAAAAAAACAACCAAAAAAACAAACAAACAAAAAAAAAACAAAAAAACAAAACACCCCCCCAAAAAAAACAAAACAAAAAAACAAAAACAGTCCAACAGTCCAGCTAAGCCAGAGCCAGAATGGGGGACAGGTTTTGGCATCCCGTGCTCTATTTGATGAGAGCAGAATACTGGGCATCCAAGGCCATTTTCAAAAATAAACAGGAAATTAACTTCTGTTCAAGTGTTGTGTAAATTATATCTATAGTCTTAGTTAATCTTGGCTTGGCAAATACACACACACATACACATTATATGTATCTATATACACACATATATACTACACACACACTCTCACTCTAAAACAGGAGACAAATGCATAAGTTTGTTCCTTTCTTTGGACTCCAGCAATGAATGAGGTGCTTTTCTTTTTACACTAAAGTGACTACAAAGGCCACACCACTGCGAAGCCCCTTCTGCTTTGAGGCTGGTGGCTTTGACTCATGCATCCCTGAGGGGAGTTATTTAAAAGAGATCAGGCCTGAGGGCTGCCTGGCAGGCACGCTGCAGCCCCCTCCCTCTCCTCTTACAAGAGAGATGGTACCACCCCACTAATAGCACAGATGACATCAGAGAAGGCAAGAGAAAAGCAGAAAGTTATCCCGACACAGAAGGAGAAGGAGAAACTGCACAGAGCGAGCCATGCATTTAAATGCATCACTACTTAAGGAACAGACTCATGGAGGACAGTCAGTCCCACAGCCTTACTTTACAGTGAGGGGGGCATCTCCACTTCTATTAGTGTAGTTGACAACAGCATTGAAGGACTGGTTTATCCACTGCCAGAAAAGCACAGCTGGTGTGGTCCTGAAACAGAGGAAGCTGTCACATACCCTCTAGCACCAAGGAGCCTCCCTCGATAGAAAGAAAATACTAGCCAGGCGGTGGTGTTGCAGGCCTTTAATCCCAGCACTCAGGAGGCAGAGGCAGGCTCCAAGGAAGCGGACCAGGCAGGGAGGAAGCCCAGGCTGCAGATGTGGGACCTCTGAAGCCACAGACTGTCTACTTTGACACCCAGTGTCCTTATCACCAAGCTCGCAGGGCTTCTGTCTTTGGGTTTTTATTGCTGTGATAAACATCGTGAATAAAATAAACTCAGACAGGAAAGGGTTGACTTGGCTTCACTTCCACATCACTGTCCATCATGGAAGGAAGTCACAGCTGGAACTCAGGGCAGGAACTCAAGGCAGGAACCTCATGTGGAGGTCCGCAGAGGGGAGCTGCTTACCCTTGCTTCTCACAGCTTGCTCAGCTGCTTTCTTATAAAACCAGGACCACCAGCCCAGAGATGACACCACCCCCCATGGGCTGGGCCCTCTCCCACCAATCATCAGTTGAGAAAATGCCTGGCAGTCTTGCCTACAGGCCAGCTTTATGATTGAAGTCTCCCTTCCCAAATAACTCTAGCTTGTGTCAAGTTGGGAGGGGAGAAAACTAGCCAGGGACAGCTTCTACCATAAAGAAGTATGTTTATAAAAAGCCTAGCACAGAGTAGACTGAGAAGATCCCTTCTCTTGGGCAAACAAAACAAATTTGCAAGTGATGCAGGCTTGGCCCTTCTTATGCCATGTCTATGTCTATTCGGACATCCAAACACACCTGCGTCTACAGAAAGAAAAGAGAATTTGTTTCTGGACTCTTTTTTTATTTTTCCTATCTCATTTTCTTTAAGGCCTCAGACGGGGGAAATGTCAACTTCTTTCTAAGCACAGGCATTATGTAGTATCCTTAACAAAAGCTTTATTTATTTTTATCTTATGCGTATGAGCGCTTTGCCTCCATGCATGTGCGATGCGTGGACAGTGCCTGCCAGGTGCTGAATCCCCTGGGACTGAATTACAGACAGTTGTGAGCTGGGAACTGAACTGGGGTCCTCTGCAGGAGCAGCCAGTGAGTGCTCTTAACCACTGAGCCACCTCTACGGCCCACGATTTACTATCATCAGAGGCAAAACACACCTTTAAATTAAATGGAGGTTTACTTACTTATTTATTATTATTACTTTAGTTGTTTGCTTTATTTTGTCTCCTGCATGCTAGGATTCCAGGCAAAAGACTCCATGCCCAGCTAAAATAGGGTTTATTTTTGCGAATCATGCCAGATGCTGCTGAGGAGAGCGGCAACATCTACTCGCAACATCTACTCGGGGTGGAACTAAAGATGAAATGACTTCTTTAATTTTAAAGCAACAGTACCTCATTTTATTATTTACTTTGGCTGTTGTTATTGTCAGATTGAGACAGGTGTTAGCTGCACAGCCAGGCTGGCCTCACACCCGAAACCCTCTTAGGCTCCCAAGAGCTGCGGTTACAGGTGAGCTCACTACACCACTTCCATCTTATTTTCAGCGGTTGTAATTTAATTTAAATTTATTTTTATTTTGTGTGCATGTTCATGCATGTGGTGATCAGAGGATGACCTGCAATAATTGGGCTCTCCCTAGCCACAAAGTGCTTCCCGAATCGAACTGTGTGTTCAGGTTTGGCAGCAAGGGCCTTTACTCACTGAGCCATCTCTCCAGCCCTACATTAATTAGTATCATTATTTTTTTTTTACTAGATATATTTACGGGGTACAACATGTTTTGACACACTGTAGAATGAACTGATCATTCTTGTTAACATAATCACTGTGACATTTGTTTCAGCAAAATTCATATTATTCTTCAAACTATTTCAATAGCAAAGTAGCCAAGAGCTCCCAGGCATCTGAAACTTACCTGTAAAAGGTCATCATGCAGCCGGTGATGGTCATGTTCATTGGAACCTGAGCCGACATCCTTCCTATCAGGGTCATCTTCTCCCCCGTGTCTGGATGGAAAGCTGAATCATACACGTACTTCGCTCTCCACAATTCATTTTCCGTGAGGCCGGCAGGAATGATTCCTTGTCTAGAAAATGACAACAGAAGTCCCAGCAACTGCTTACTCAGGTATTTTGCCATGAGCTTCATGGCTTGTGAAGCCTCATTGTGCCTACGGGGCCTGGCAGGTCTGTTAGAGCGCTGGTGGTAATTATTGTTTTTAAATTATTTATTGGGTGCTGGGGGGTTGAACCCAGAGCCTCACATACACAGTGTGGGCTCTATCTCTGGTCTTTCTGGCAGTCTATAGCACAAGAACAAAAACACCGTTACAGTGAACTTCAGACCCATGTATATGGAAAATAATAGAAAGTAATATGCATATTAAGACGTATTCAACTTGAAATTATTATTTTAAGTGACATATTAAAATTGTAGTCTGAACTTGGCAAACCATGAACGACTATTTTTAACCAACTGGACCAAAGTTATGGCACTCAAGGTCGTAACTTCATTTTAAACCTGCAGTTGGCAGATTCAGGTTTGGGACCCTTTGGTGCAAATAAAGGGCGTGGTGTGCAATTTTCAGATTTTCTCATCAAAGAAATACTCACTGTCTGAGATTTAGAAAATAGAGAAATTTAGTGGTACCCTGGGCCTATCTATCCACTGTTGCCACTGGTAACACCTGGGCAAATACTTTTTCAATTTTTCCAAGGTGCTTAAGGTATGACCCCACACCAGAGGTTCCCTAACCAGGGTTTTATTCAACGATACTCTGAATGGTTTTTCGCTTGTTTATATAACATTCTTCTAAACCATCTACATTGGCTTGAATGGTAATTCGTAAATGCATGTCCACATAGAAGAACAGGGTTGTGGCTTCATAGATGTAATTAGCCAAAGTAAAGTCCTATTGGATGAATGGTCACCAAATCTAAGGATGTCCCTATAACAAGGGACACCAACAATTCCCAGAGCCACCAGCACCCAGGGAACGGCAAGGGGATCCTCCTTGAAAGCCTTCAGATGGAGTGTGACCCTTCTGTGCCATGACTCAGACTTACAGCCGCCATACGGGAAGGGGGCAGACCATCACCCTCTAAACACTCACTACAGACATTCCACAACGTGAGTTTTAGATGGGGTTTCAATTTTAGTTTGGGATTTTAATTCTTCCATTTTTTCCATTTGTAAATGTGGGGCTTCATATTTAGAAATCTTCCCCACAGCCAAGATTACAAATAAATGAGTAAATTTGCTAAAGTGACAGCCATGTAAAACATGAACCGGTTTCATGACTTTCATCCTTTGAGTCCGAGTTTGTAGGAAGTGGAGGGAGCCCCGAGAAGATGTAAATGACAGACACCAAAGCAATTGGCAAAGCCGGATCCCCATATGTGCCAGGTTCGGGAGGGATGGCAAAGGGTCCAAGTATGAGTAATCAGCGAGTGCAAGGATTAACAAGTGCAACTTCCTCCTCCAGGGTGTTTAAAGCCTCAGAGTGCGCATCCACAGAGACCCCTCCCTAGAACAGCCAACCATGACGGGAGTTGTCTTTCTCTATTATGATTGTCTTACTGGTTGATGAATACAGCACGGTTTGGCTAGTGGCCAGGCAGGGAGACAGGTGGGGCTACCAGAGGAAGAGAGTTCCGGGAAGTGTAGGCAGAGAGGAGTCAGGGAAGAGGGGACTCGAGCCAGGCGTTCTCTGGTAAGATAAGACCATGTAGATTAGTACTTTTGGGTTAATGATTAAGTCAGAGCTAGCCAATAAGAAGCCCAAGCTACCAGCCAAAAGTATTAATTAATATAAGTCTCTGAGTGTTCATTTGGGGCAAGGCGATGCAGAACTGGGCGGGAAATCCTGTAACACAGCCCCTCCTCCAATAAACACCCGAGGTTGGGGGTTGCCTGGTAGGTGCCCTCCATCACCACCCACACCACCACCTGATCCCAGCTTCCCTGTATGTGTGTCTGCCCTTTCTCCCTTCCCTTCTTGCCCCTAGTCAGGGTTCCAGAAACCAAGCTGTAGGTTGTGGACACAAAAACTATGCCTTTTGCCTTTTGCTTTTGAGTCTGAGTTTGTCTTAAACAGCAGCAGGAATTTATCATAAGGCATGTGTCTTAGTCAGGGTTTCTATTGCTGCGACAAAACACCAGGGCCAAAAAGCAAGTTGGGGAGGAAAGGGTTTATGTGGCTGTAATTACACTTCATCATCGACATTCATCACTGAAAGGAGTCAGGACAGGAACTCAAACAGGGCAGGAACCTACTAGGGGCAGGAGCTGATGCAGAGGTCATAGAGGAGTGATGCTTGCTGGCTTGCTTTACATGGCTTGCTCAGCCTGCTTTCTTATAGAACCCAGGACCACCAGCCCAGGGATGGCACCACCGACAATTGGCTGAGTCCCTCCCCATCAACCACTAATTGAGAAAATGATTTACAGCTGGATCTCATGGAGACATTTCTTCAGCTAAGGCTCCTTCCTCTCTGATGACTCTAACTTGTGTCTGATTCACACACAAAACCAGCCAGTACAGGATGGAAATTTGCTCAGCTTTACCTCCTCTTGGCTGGTTTCTATCAGCTGAGGCGTGAGAAGGTGTGTCTCTCCTTACCTACAGAGTGAGGACCACTTTAACGACAGCCCTTCTTAACTGCTGGCGGGATAAGTGTTGTCCCCTATTACTCTTCTTACGCCTTAGTTACAGTCACTATTTTCCCAGGAAAACCTTACAGTTATTCTCTAGGTCTTATAGGTGATCACAACTGTACTAATGGAAGCTGTTAACAGGAGAGAATTGTAGCAGTGTGAAGACTTCCTTTCTAGCCCGTCTGCATCTCTCATTACCCAGGTTATTTTAACTGTCACACACTTCTCAGTAAGAGTGTTCCCAGTCCCCCATCCCCCCCAACACTAAAATGTAAATTATGTAGCAGTGTCTGTGTGTGGGTATGTGCACATGATGAGTGCAGAGGGTAGAGGCATTGGAGTTAATAGGTGTTTGTGAGCTGCCCGAGGTGGGTGCTGGGTACTGAACTTCAGTCTTCTGCAAGGGCAGTATGCACTCTAACCTCTGAGCCATCTTCTCTGCTGCGAACCTCGGTCACATGTGGACACTTTATGTCGATTAAAAGCAGACCCTCTCATCATATTGATTTGTTATAGGTTTCAAGTTGATAGGATATTATCAGTTGCAAAATGCAATTGCTTCATCTTTTTAATACTTAGTTCCAAAGTGTTTTTGAACAGTGAAGATTAAGGTGCCCTGGACTTGCTCTTGCCCTCGATGCCAAGGGGTGCACACTTTTCTGAATGTGTTGCCTTAGTCATGAATAGAGGTCACAGGGAGAAAGGAAGGCCTATGTTCAAGTTTGGATTAAATGGATTAAAGAGTCCTAGAACCTCAATTCCTAAATATTTTGGAAACTGAAAGCAAAGTGGGGTGATCGTGGAAGACCGACTGTCCCCACATAGGTGGCATCTTCTTATCTCATGTGTGCCTCTCAGCTGATGCAGGACATCCCTGAACCCCATCAGAGTCCCTCCCATCTGAGTACTCATCTAGAAGTCTTCCTCAGCCCGCATTTGTTTACTGAGAAACCACGAAGCCCTTTAAAGACAACTACATGGCAAGCCACAAGCACAGCATCATGTTACCTGTAATCATGCACCACTTTCCTTGCATTCTCCAGTTGTTCGTTTGTTAGAAGGATGTTCCTCGGATCTGTGACCGTGAAGAAGTGATTGGCTCGGCCAACAAACGTGCTTTGGTCCCATCGAGGCTCTTTGATGTTAATGTTGGGTGGCAGTTCCCCAGACATTGTCTCAGATCCTGAAAAGGGAAAGACTAGTCAAGTGAGGTAACACTGTTACACAAGCAAGGATTTGGCAGTCACACTCGACCTGTGTGTAAAGATAGCTCAGTGGGTAAAGCTTTGACACACCTGCATGGTGACCTGCGCTCTGCTCCTGGAACCTACATCAAAGGTAGGAGAATCGACCCCACGAACTTATCCTAGGACCTTCCCAGTAGTGCCACCCAATGTGCTTACCAGTATCCCCGTAAACCACACACAAAAAACTATGTCATAATATTTAAGTAAGTTTTGACTTTGTGTTTGGTCACATTCATAGCTATCGTGGGGTGCATGCACCCCGCAAGCTGCAAGCTGGAACCCCCGTAAACCAGAATGAGCTGTTCATAAACCTCAGTGCATCTCAACCAAATTTCAAGAATTTGCCACATTTCTCTCGTCCCTTTCCTGTAGGAAAGCCAAAATTATTCTAGTTAAGATAGAAACACAAAGTTTTAAAGTAACAATGGCTGGAGGGGTGGCTCTGTCAGTAAACTGCCTGCTGTCAGTCTGTCTAGCCAAACCTGTTTGGTCCAGGCTCAGAAAGGGATGCAGAGTGACAGAGGAAGCCACCTGAGGTCAGCCCCGGCCTCCATCTGCATGTGCCTTTGAATGAAGAAGCAGTGAACGTCAACACTGCTGTATTCTGGTCCAACAAATGTCATTCCTACTGGAAGTACTCGACGATGCACAAGATCGTAAGTCTAAAAATAATAACTAATGCTAGTGGTTATAAAACTGAAGAAGGCAGATCCTTTCAGCCTGTTCAGCACATAAACCACTAATCAAACATTAAAAATCATCATCTTCAACTTAGCAGAAACACAGAGACAAGCAACATGCCCTGACTGCCCCACAGAGCAAACTCGGCGCTTCCCTTCCTTCAGAGAGTGCCTGCGTTCTGGTGTGTGGCCATTACTTTGCCCAGGGTTTGCTAACTTCTTTCTGAGTTATACTGTGACCTCAGAACTGCACTGTAATGTTTTACTACTTGCTTATGGTATGCTGAAAACCACAAGCTTATTATGCAAATGACAAAGAAATAAAATTTCTACAATCCAGCCTCTCTAATAATTATTACTGTCTTCAGAAAATTCCTTTGTTGAAAAGATTTGCAAGTATAAAAATAATTTGGTAGGCTTTAGAATTTCAAACATAAATATATCCATTCCTCCAGTTTCTCCTGTGTCCCCTTCTACACCCCCCTCTCATACTTATGACCTGTTCTTCTACAGTTACATGTATATATAGTATGTGACATACAAACATACTAAGTCCAATCACTGTTACCCGTATGCACATGGGCACGGACAACCTATCCCTATCGTATGTTTCACCGTGAAGAAAACTGATTCCTCCTTCAGCAGCTGATGGGCATGCTCAGTAGGTCCACCTCCACCCCCTGGTTCTTACAATCTGTCCACCCTGTTCCTGGATGTTCATTTACACTTGCTTCATGAAGCATGAAGTCCCTCCAGCGGCATCAGGCCTCCATTCTGGACCCATAATAACCCTTGAGGGCTGTTCTGTGTCAGTTCTCAGCATTACCCAGGACACTATGCCTTTGTCTGGGGCCTCTTCCCCCATACCTGGTGATTTTCTTAGATGGAATCTCTGGTGTTGGTGAATCAAAGTGTCGGGTCACCACAGAGGCTTCACGTAATTAATTTTCTTATACCTGTTTCTTTTTCGCCTAACCACAGCTTTCTTTAGTGTTACATGAATTCTTAGGACCATTTAAGATATCAGATGCAAACGCTAGGCCACCCTGTAATCTGTCCTTTGTCAAAACCCCCAAATAACATATCACTGACCACTGGACCAAAACTGACATGACAGTCGGGCACCCAAGTCTGAAGTGACTGGGCAGTGGGAGTAAGAGAGTAAAATCTAGCTATTGATAAAACGGCTGCAACAGCAGACCCAGACACAATAAGTGTAAAGCCACCACTTTGCTCCCAGCTACCAACAGCTCCATGCCTGGGTGACCCCACTTCCTAGCTGGCAGGCTTGCTTTGCATAATCACAGATGCGCAGAAACTTTGCTATTTGAAAAGCAAGAACAAAGAGTCCCTCTCTCCTCTGGCACAGGGGTCATTGAGCTCCCAGACCATCACAGGGCTTCACATTAGAGGCATTCTGGACTCAGCATCCTAAAGCTCCTCTGTGATTTTCAAGGAAACAGGGGTACAAGTCCACTTCACAGTGCAAACTTATTCCCCCGGTCATGGTTTGTGCCCAACTTAATGCTGCAGCATTAAACTCCACTGTTCTCCGTAATGCTATGGTAGCTGTCATTTTCCTGCTTGCCCAGTAGACCCCACACAACTCCTCTGGTTGTGATCTTCCTTACCACAGCAAGCCAGGAAGTACATCTTCCATTGGACAGTAGCTCTGTACCTGCTGGCCTTTGCCTGACAAGGTTATAATACAGAACAGGCCCAAAGTATAAATTAGAACAAATATACTGTTGTGCATGTTAAATCCAGGGACAGAGAAATATACTATATAGCCCCTCCAATCTGAGGGGGTGCAAGTCCTCACAGTGGATATCTGAAACCACAGATAATATGGACTCTGTAGATAATGCTTTTTCTATACACATATACTTTGAATAAGGCTAATTATTAAATTAACAAAAAGCTAATATTACCTAACAATGGAACAATATGCATGACAATAAGGTATGTGCATAGGTTCACTCTCAAATTATCTTATTGTCTTTGAAATACTCCATTCAATATTTTTGGACCATGCATAGTCAATCATGGATTGCTAACAGATAAATGGACTGGTGAGCATCAAAGACCATGTCACTGTGTGGAAACACGGATTATTTACATAACCCACAAACAGTAGCATAAAGGCTCCATTTTTATGTAGGGAAGCTTCCAGACTTGCCCACAGAGATCAGCCAAGGTATTTCAGCAACTGCTGTGAAGGAGGGGAGTCAGGAACGTGGGCCTCCGAAGGCAGTCAGAAGGGCACCTCTAGCCCATCTGACCCGCCTTCAGTGTCTGTGTTTGGGGATGATGGATATTAAGGGATCTCACCTTAGACAAACGATAATTAATAATAAAGCTGGTAACTACTGTAAGAGATGACAAGCTGAAGATGGAAGAGATGGTTCACAAAGTCCAGATACTCTCAAAAGCAAAATGGCGCAACACATCAAAGGTACCAGCAAAGGCAGAGCCTCTAAACCACCAGACCTCTGTGGTTAGCTGTGTAAACTCCATTCTCTGACCCTCGACAGGCTTTATTTGTACAAGTAAGATATCACCACAGGATACACCATGCACACAGGCTTTCTAGAAATGTGCACACTCCAGATCTGGACAAGGCTGGCTGGACATGTGACTCCAAGGGTGCTCTGGACACAAACCTCCAGCTTGGTGGGCAGGCACCAGCCATGGTCTACACGAGACTGTTCTGCTGACGCTTCCTACCTGCCCTCCCTGTGAAATCCCCAGGTTAGAGTGAATTGTGATGTCCCCTGGGGGCCACAGGAGACCCTGTTATTCTCTGTAGGGTTCTTTCTCTTTTATGCTTAATACAAATAACCAGGAAAAATTGAAATGTAGATTTCACAGAAGTGCAGCCCTGAACAACAAACTCTGTGCAATGTGTTAGGTACAAGCAACATTTTGGCTAAATTGTCACCAACATGATGGCACAGTAACAGAATGGATACTTTGTGGCAGTATTGCAAAGAACCATACAGACTCTTACACGGGAGTCAGAAGTTCACCATCCAGATAGGGAAACAGACTCAAGGAAAGCCAGTCAAATGTCAGGTCAAATGGCTGAAGGTGAGAAGGACCCCAGGCCAGCAACATCATTTTTTCTCACCAGTCTCTAGCTTTTTTAAAGGCTAAAATCAGTTAATGTCTACAGAGCACTGCTGTCTCCGAGGTCGCCTTTGTCCTTGTCCACAGTACTAGAAGTCCTCCAACACCAGAGCCTCACTGCAGAGGCCTCACCAAGTGTCCCGTCTGAGAAACACAGATGGGCCAGGAAGTGAACATTTTTGTTTCCATTAAACACAGGGATAACTGGATATTTTAAGAACACATGCTCTCCCCTCAGGCCAGGGCTGGAGTGCAACTCATTTCCTTGAACAGCTGTGTCCTTTTCATGCGGTACAGACATATTAACAGATGGAAGATTCCAAGAGGCCACTCCCAATCCACAGAGGAAGGGAGGAATCAGAGCAGCTTCTCCTGCTCAGTGACTTTCATACTCCAAGTTAAACTGCCAAACCTAGCCAGGCATTGGTGGCACACACCTTTAATCCCAGCACTCAGGAGACAGAGGCAGGCAGATCTCTGTGAGTTCGAGTCCAGCCTGGTCTACAGAGCTAGTTCCGGGACAGGCTCCAAAACAATACAGAGAAACCCTGTCTCAAAAAACCAAAACATGCAAACAAACAAACAAAACAAAACAAAAACCCCTGCCAAACCTCAGAACCCACAAAGCCCCATGGATGGCTTTATCCTTTTGTGCAGAAGAGCGGCCTCCTAAGATGTGTGCAGCCTGGTCTCCAGGGACTGACAAATGCTGCATCCATGGTTCTGGGGCTTTGCTGAGGGTGTCAGCCCTGGTCATGATGAGAGGAGAGGACTGTGACTATCTGAGGAGGTCCAAGTCACAAAAGGAGCTGGATAAAGGAACATGGGAGTTGAAGGGAGGCTAGAAAGGCAAAGGGCTCTTCCCAGTGCCTCTGGATGGAAGGCTGACCCAGTCAGGCAGCTGACCTCCAGCACACTGAGAAGAAAAAAAAAAAAAAAAAGTGTGTGGTTTGCTAGTGTGGCAAAGGGAATAACCAGAGCTCCATTCCCTCACTATGAGTCCAAGTAGCTCTCTGCTGGCATAGACCGCTTGCAGTAACCTGTGCTTCCCACTCCCAGAAAAAGAAAGGCCACCAGGCTACTCAGCAACGCATCAGTGTCCTGACAGACAAGGCTGATAACAAGCC